AAAAACTTCGTATCAGTTTTGCTCAGAATTTTGAGGCTAGACTGATATCATTTTGGCTTATATCTCTGTCATTCTTGGCCACTACAATGTAAAATGCAAATGTTTCAAGAAATATATTTTATTCATTCAACAAATATTTACCAAATACTTACTGAATACCAGCTGTATGTTGTGAGGAAATAGCAGTGAAATGAACATATTCCTATCATAAGGCAGCCTATGTTCTAATGGAGCAAGAGAAACAAGAAATATTCAAAACACACACTGTGTTAGGTACCAATAAGTGCTGTGGAGAAGAATAAGGTAAGTAGTGGGGTTAGGAAGGGCACATACATTTGGGAGGGGGGTTCCCTATTATATAAAGAGTTCAGGGTGGGACTGAATGAGAAGGTGACAGTTGAGTGGCATTTGAGATAAGGTGGCAAGTCTGGAGGATATCTACAGATAACTCTCCAGGTAAAGGAACAACAAGTACAAGAACTTGAAGAGGGAGGATGTCTGCAGTGTTCTGGTTATAGCAGGAGTGTAGTGAACGGGAGATGAGGTCAGAGCAGTGGTGGGGCCAAGTTCTGTAGGGCCCTGTGGGTCATGGTGAGCACTTGCTTTTCCCCTGAGTAATCGAGAAAGCCATTGGAATGAAATGGTACAGAAAGTTTTAACTTATATTTACCTTAGTTTAACCCTTACATGTTTCCTTTTATGCTTCCATATTTGCATCCTCCAGAAGGACTTTTTCTTGACCCTGAATGCATTCCTCTCCAGGTTCTGGAAATAATCTCCCTAGATCCCAGCTTCTTCTTTTTCTTTTTCTTTTTTAAATTTTATTTTAAAATAGAGGCGAGGTCTCATTATGTTCCTAGGCTGGCATTGAACTCAGTGGCTCAAGTGATCCTCCCACTGCAGGTTCCTGAGTAGCTGGGACTACAGGTGTGTGCCACCATGCCCAGCTGAGCCCAGTTTTTTAACACAGTGCCTCCTCCTTTGTCCCTCTTGAGGCCACCACTTCCCTGCAGCCTGTAAAGGAGATGGCTTATTCTGCCATATCCCAAGTAGTTCTCCTCTTCTTCTAAAACAGTTCTCAGCTGTTTGGAAAAACCCCTTCTTCCTGAGGGCTCAGGCTGTTCGGCTTCACTACATCTCACCCCTAATTTTGCCACCATCTAGATGATTTTTAATTATTCTTCATCATTAACTGAAGATATTTGTCACCCAGATCTACCGTTTTACCGAAAGAATTGCTGGTACCATGAGGAAATCCAGGGCTGAGTGGCCGACGCCGTAGCTCAGTAGTTCCTTGATCTTAATTTCTGTGACACTTTTTCCATGCTTTGGTTCAGCCACCCATGCCCACAGCCACAGCTTGGACCTCATTCTTTAGGTCCAAGCTGTGGCTGTGGGCATGGGTGGCTGAACCAAAGCATGCAAGTTTTTAAGTCAAAATGGCATAGATTGAGGTGGGACATGAATAAATAATTTAAACAGTGTAGCCCAGTCTCCCATCCAGCTGTCTGTAGTCCCGCCCTCTCGCTGTCGCAGTTCCACACCTTGGCCTCCAGGGGGAGCTCAGCCTCTCAGTCCTGAGGCCTGCAAAGTGCTGCCTTGGATCATAGATGCGCTGCGTTTTCAATCTTAGCGGGACGAAGTGGTAAGTACGAGGCTGATGGAGCCACGCGTCATCCTTGAGATCCCATTTCTTCCACTTTCTAATGTATAGCGCTTGGCAGGCTGCTCAAGGTTCAAGTTCTCACCTAAAAAATGTAGACAAAAAGTGTACCTCACAGGGACTAGATGAGGAATAACTGACTTAATTAAGTGAATACAGTGCTTACCAATAAAAGGAAGCCAGTTAGAGGTGGGTTTTCATTGAGAGGGGTGAAGAGGTTAAAGGCTATTCTTGTTGCATGGGGCGGTCTCCTGTATTTCATTCTTGTCTCAAGTAGGAATTTAAATCTTTGGAAAGCTTCTTCCATGGTATTGCTGCACAGCTGTGTGCATGGACCTGGCCCCTCCCACTCCCCCTCCAGCCCTACTTCTTGCTTCCCAAGGTCTACCAGGCCTCAGGGCTGGGGTCGGAAGGAGGAAAGTGGGAGTAGGTGGCTTTTGCAAGTCTCCCTGGGCCATATGACATTCTTCTCTCCTTGGGTTCATTGAACAGGGAATATACAGGTACAATGTTTTCCCTTTTTTGCATGTACATAGCTCATTTCTGAGAGTGGCATAGATGCAATTGTTGTTTAAGAGCCATTTAAAACGGTCACAGCCTTTAATTTTCACTTGTTTATCACAAAAAGGGGAAGAAAGCTAATGCCTCTCACAGTAGCATGGCGAGTTTCTTTACCAGGCTGGGGCAGGACGAGGTGATGTCACTCTCACTTACCTCACATTCAGTCTTTAGTGCCCTACACTCAGGTTTCCTTTCGCTGCATCCAACCATATGTTCCCGTCAGGTGCCTGGATGAGGAAGCCCAGCATGGAAGGGGCCGGGTGTGGGCATGGTTCAAAATTTACACAAAAATGTAGAGATCCAAAATGTAATAAATGGATTTGGATGATTTTTAAAAATATCAGCTATAAAAGTAAATGCAGAGTTGGGTGTGGTATCATGTGCCTTTAGTCCCAGCTACTCAGAAGGCTGAGGTGGGAGAACCATATGAGCCCAGGAGTTTGAGGCTGCAGTTCTCTATGACTGTGTCTGAATAGCCACTGCATTCCATTCCGGGCAGCCTGGAGAAACCTCATCTCTTGAAAAAGAAAAAGTAAATGCAACTGCAGAAATACTTATTGAAACTTAAGATATATAGTATAGCTTGTGAAGGAAAGGACAGAAAGCAAAGGAAACCTAGGAGAGCTTAAAAATATTCAGCTTAAAACATGTTTACAGAAATTAGATTTAAAAACTAGTGATGAAAACAAATGTAAATTAATTTAAAACTCCATTTAGAAAGTGTTTAAAATAGATATATCTGGAAAAATAATATAAAAGTAAAAACAATGGGTAAAATATTGTCAGCAAACACAAGTAGAAAATAATAGGGTGGCAGTATCATTTTTAGTGAAAATAATTTGAGACAAAATACAGAAATGTATCCAAAAGGGAAAGGGAAATTTTCTCTATATTAAGAATAAATAGAAAGTACAACTCATGCCAAACATTTTCTGTACAGAATGATGTAACATCAAAATACGAAGCAAAAATGCTCCATGATCTAGCAGTTTTACTCCTGGATGAATTCCAACATAAATGTATACTTCTTATCACTAAAAATAATATACTAGAACGTTCATAGCAACATTTTTAATAATAGCTCCCAATGGAAACCACCCAAATGATCACAATCAGTAGAATAGATAGATAAATTGTAAAATAATAACATAATGGAATGTTATTCAACAATGAAAATGAATGTTCTGAAGGCAGTCATCTACCCGACCCTCACATTCAGAATGCTGAGCAAAATATGTTCACCACCGGGAGCACGTGCTGTGTGATTCCATTGATGTAAAGGGAAAAACAGAAGAAAACAGATTTCTGTGGTTGGAAGCAAGGGTAGGGATTTCTCTTTGAGGAGGGTGGTGTGATGCCTAAAAGGGAGGATGATGGGGAAGGGATCCTGGGGCTCTAGAAATGTCCTGGCTTAGATCTGTGTCTGGTTAGGCATGTATGTTAGTTTTTTAAAAAATGTTCAGTCTATCCACTTGATTCGTGTACTCCTCTTTAAATATATTTTTAGTAAAAAGCATAAAAATGAAGGAAAAATGATCCGAAATATGGGAGAATTATAGAAAAAATAGTTATTTTGGAGTCTTTAGCATATTGCTTCAGACTTTCTGCTTAAAGAACAGATTTTTGAATAATATAGCTAGATTGTATTACTGCAAATGGTACCATACTTTAAAACATATATATACTCTGTTTAAAAAAATTGTTGACTCTATTTTACACTAAAAAGAAATCCTCAAACCTCAAAAGCAGGAATTCTATATATCACGTGACAGTCTGAAACTACAATGTGGTAAACTAGATATTAGTATTACTATTTTAAACAAATATGAAAATTACTTGCAATATCTCAAATATATATTTAAGGATTAAATCAAGGCAACACAGATAGCAATTATAATTGGTTTTTAGAAAATAAAAAGTGAGAAGAATACATATTTTTTTAAAATGTGTCCAGCTGTCTAAACCTGAATTTAGTGGCCATAGTGGCAGATTCATTGTCTCTTGTTTTTTTAAATGCAATAAATTATAATTCAATTTGACAAAACAAATATAAAATAAACCAAAGAGAAGTAGGAGGGAGGTAGTAATGAGAGTAAAAGCAGTAAACAATATAATTAGAAAAGAAAAAAGAAGGAAAAAAGAGCTGATGATTAAATCTAAATACTTATTGCTTGGAAAGATAAATAAAACTATACAATATAGAACTCTAGCAAATTTAATTAGGAATGAAAGAACACAAACATAAAGAGAAACAAGAAGGAATTTTGAAATAAACAGAGTTCTTTATATCATGTTCAATATATATTTTTAATTGCAATTGTAGGAATAATGAGACTAAAACTTTAATAGACATAGAATGATTAGAGAAATTTGAAAGATTTTCAGAGTCCTCTTTTTCCAATTCATGGTTTGAGGTCAGATGGTTGCTTGTAAGTTTTTTCAAACTTCTAAGGAGGCTTTTGTTGGAGCTTGGGAGTCAGAAACCTGGGTGTCACCTGGCTCTGTCAAGTACTCACATGGCCTTTGACCTTGGCCAATCCACTTAACCTTGTTGAGTGAATGAAAGTACCATTGAGGAAGTGTTTGAACGCAGGCATGCCTTAGCCTTCAAGAGGTTATGATTAAGTGAATTAATGTATCTGAAGTTCTTAGCATCAGGCCTGTTAAATGGTGAGCATTCAATTAACATTAGGTGTTATATCATACAATGTTTTGTAGTATATGGGAATCAGAATATCTATGAGTAATCTTTTGGTATTTATATATATTTTTTCAGGTTATCCCAATCCAGAAAAGTTTTCCTGGACAGAATACCTGGAAGCTACTCAAACCAATGCAGTTCCTGCCAAAGTTTTTAAAATGGTAAGTTCTGTATGGGTACAAACTCTCACCTTTAAACAATGTTTGTATTGAGTCATGCCTTCATTTGGCAGTTTAAAATTATTCTAATTTAAAATTATTCTAGTTTTTTTCTTTCTAAATTCAAGTAGTAATTTCATAACCAATATGCTTTTCTTTTAGTTAAAAATACAAAGTAGATGACTCATTTGCTATTGTTCCTATATACGGATGTAGATGATGGTTTCCTTCCTTGAAAAATGGTAAATCAGAGATACAATTGAAAACACCTCATCAACTGCTGATGATCCATTCCTTACATTTCTGGTGCTATTAGTCTGCTGAGTGAGAACTCTGAATTTTCACAGTCTCACTCTCTCAGGGGCTGTTTGAATGTCCGTGATGCCATAACAAAATAGTTGAGATGCATAGCCTTTGTGTGGATAATTTTATATATTTTGAGGTAAACCTTTCTTTTAGCATTTGTTAGAATACTAATTTTTAAAGTTCAAATTTGTACTTACATATTTATTCTAGGATTGAACTAAATATAAATTAATTTCTAAAATAAAGTACATAGGTAGTACAGTTAAAGATATTTATTTCCTAAACCTAAACCAGTGGTTTTCAAACTCTATTTCCTTTCAGTTCTCTGTGTGTTTCAAGTTCTCCAACTTGTCTTTAATCAGAATTTTATATATTGGGCTTCTACATATGATTTCATTTACTGAAAGTTTTCTAGAGATCAAGAGGGGTTTGAAACAAAATGATATTTCATTTTTTGAAAAAATTGATTATAATTGACTGGATTTGGGGGGAAATGTTCATATAATAAAATCAGGAAAGTAGAAATGCTGGAGTACTAGGAAGGGTTTTAAGAAGAGCAAAGATTCAGCAAGCAAAAATACTTACTGTATTTGACTTTTCCAAGAGGAAAATGACAAGAAAATAAAATTCTGAAAAGTAGCGAAGAAGGCAACTTTCAGGCTCTGTCCTGGGTTATTGTGGATTCAGCTCAGGGATGTATCTTAGGCATCTACAATGCTGAACTCTTCTACCTCTGTTGTTTAGGACAGTGACGTTGGGGAGAACAGAAAGAGTCTCGGGGCGAAAGACCTAATTATAGTCAGTATACTCCATTTAGTAGATGTAATAATGCATCTTACAAAGAAAATGTGTTCCGCAAAAGCTGAAGAGAAACACACCAGATATTGCAGAAAGATTTGATGGTTTCTTACTGACATATTAGTAGGGTTTTATTTTCCTTTTGCCATTTCTAGACTTGAAAAATTCAAAACACTTTCATTTCCAATAAAACCAGTTGAATACTTTTATGTGTAATAGTTTTCAAAGTGAAACTTTTTGCCAACCTATAGAAACTATCAGAGTTGCTTTTGACTTTGATTTTTGAGAGTTGAATTTCCTTAGTTTCCATGATTTGGTTAAGTCCAGTGTCTTTTTTCTTCCTCTGTGATTATGACTCCTGGTGTGTCTGTGGTTACAGACTCTTGGTTCCTAGCAATGTAAGACTTGAAGTAAACCATCACACAGATCACCTGTCTCTTGTTACAGTTGAAATGACAAAAGCATAGGTTATGACTTTAAAGTGTATCATAGTATGATTTTAAAACAGTTTAACAGTTGAAATTACACAGCTTTTATCTAAGCATATTTTAGATTTATAAAGGATCATGTTTATCCTTTCTGAGTATTTATTAAATAATTTTGCCTTCTGTGCCATACACTTTGAAACTGGGCAATGAGAATAGTTAATAGTTTCTGAAATTATATGGTCAATATCAGAAAGAAGGAAAAAATCTAAACCAATATAGAAACTGTAATAAGATGCTTTTTGAACTTTAGCGTAATCATTAACAAACTTATGATATAATCTGTCTTTGTCTTTTTAGCTGTCTTTAAAATGGCCAAAAAGTTATTTTTTCTCTCACAGGTTTTTGTGAATCAGATGAAATAATATGCATACAGTCCTATGTGCACTTAAAACTAAATTCTCTCCAGGCACGGTGGCTCACGCCTGTAATCCCAGCACTTTGGGAGGCCAAGGTGGGCAGATCACCTGGGGTCAGGAGACCAGCCCGGCCAACATGGTGAAATCCTGTCACTACTAATAATACAAAAATTAGCTGGGTGTGGTGGCGCATGCCTGTAATCCCAGCTACTCGGGAGGCTGAGGCAGGAGAATTGCTTGAACTCGGAAGGTGGAGGTTGCAGTGAGCTGAGATCGCACCACTGCACTACAGCCTGGATAGCAAGAGTGAAACTCTGTCTCAAAAACAAACAAACAAACAAACAACAACAAAAAAACAAATAAAACCTAAATTCCAGTTGTATTAAAGATCGGCTTACTAAAACTGAAACAATAGTATTTTAGAAAAAATTAGTAGGAGATCTGAATTACTGAATATTGCATTTTTTTTTGTACTTATAACATTTACAGAGGTTGCCTCATGGTTTTCTGCCAAATATGAAACTTGAAGTTGTGGATAAACGGAACCCCAGGTTAATTCGTGTTGCTACGATTGTAGATGTTGATGACCAAAGAGTAAAGGTACATATTTTAAATTACTACGTTATTATATCAGTATTTTTCCTACATTAGTATTTTTCCTCTACCCTCCCATTCTATGAACTTCCCTCGTTTTTTAATTCATCTGCACAATAGTTTTCTGGGGGAAAAAACATTCTGGATTTGACCTTGAAGATTGACCCTGGCCAAGATGGGACTAGAGAATCCCTAAAAAAGGAGAGGGTGTAACTCACACCTTAAACTGGCTACAGGGGCTCTGATTTTTTGGTACAACAGAAGAATAAAACTCCAACTGGTTTAATTTCTTGTCACGGGTCTTTGGATAGAGAGATTCCCAGCTTATGTGTGTGTACAGGGGAAAATCTGTAGATGAGACATGACTGACTTTGAGAGAGATTCTAATACATTTCTGTTTGGATTTGGTGTTTTGACTTTTACTGTCAGTTCTTTTTTTAAGCTTCTTTTTATTGGCATTATTCTATTTTTCTTGAAATCATTGTCATTAAACAGCTGACCAAGAACAATTAAATCTTTGTTTCCTGCTTTTCTTTGTCAAACAAAAAATTAAAAAGTTTATTCACTGTAACTAAAAAGGTTAGATTTCGAATGAAGGATTTGATTAAAATATTTCTATACTATCCTTTATTTTTATCCTTTATTTTTCTCAGAGAGCTGAAAGCATCTGTAGAATTTATTAAATTTTCTATAACATATTACACTTCAAAAATTATTTTCCATGCAAGTATATTTTCTTTTCATAATAATAAAGATTGAAGTCAACTAATTTTAATAGCCACTATCTTAAAAGATTTAGGTTTGATATAATTTAAAAGAAATCTTACTTGCTGTATCCCTAATTTGAAAATAATATCTGATTCAATTTATGGAGAATAATCAGTACATACATTTTAGTAAAATTTAGAGATGAGTGTCCAGCTTGACAATAGATTATCAAAAGAATTTATACTGGAAATGTCCTTTACTCTTCTGATGAATGAAAACAAAAACTATGTTAAATAATATTTGGGAATAACATAGGTATTTTACCATATACCTTCTTATTAATGTTTTAAGTTTAATTTTAAGCATATTCCTTTAATTCTTATTTATTTCTGGCATTTTACTGTTTACTCTTATGGCATTTTCAATGGAAATGACTTTTGCATATCATAATTGCTTTGTTAATTCAGTGACATTTTATTATTAACTTTCATTTTAAAAGTAGTTCAGGCACAATGGCTCATGCCTGTAATCCCAGCATTTTGGGAGGCCGAGGCGGGTGGATCACCTGAGGTCAGGAGTTCCAGACCAGCCTGGCCAACATGGTGAAACTCCATCTCTACTAAAAATACAGAAATTAGCTGGGTATGGTGGCACGTGCCTGTAATCCCAGCTGCTTGGGAGGCTGAGGCAGGAGAATTGCTTGAGCCCAGGAGGCAGAGGTTGCAGTAAGCCGAGATCATGCCACTCTACTCCAGCCTGGGCGACAGAGCTGGACTCCATCTCAAAAAAAAAAAAAAGAGTATTGCATTTCTAAGATAAGCTCAATCTTAATAGCACATCAAATCTGACTTAGATTTTTAGTTGACAGACTATTTTCTTATTGTTCATAAGATATTTACTGTAGCATCGATTGATCATTTGTTGCCAGTTTATGAGCAAGCAATTGAAGTTTTCCTGCTCTCGGCTTTGCCCAGTACATTCTTCAGTTAATGTGTTGATCATATTGTTCTGTTATTCTCTAATTTTCTTTGTAAAGTCAATATTTTTCAAAGGCAATCTTGATCCCAGCACATAATAGATGCTTACTGTATGTGTGAGTGAATTAAGGAAGGTGTGGAGGAGTGAATGGCACTGAATGTACTTTGGCACTCTGACTGTTATCTGAGTATGCACATATGATTGTGTTGGTCAACAAGCACTCTTCTCTTGTTTTCAATTATTTTCATAACTGCTCTTCTCTTGGACATCTGGAGTAATAATGTATTGGAAAATGCCCTCAGACAAGACTGATCTGGGTTCAAATTCCAGCACTGACTTATTTGACTGTGTGGTAACTTGGTGAAGTTACTCAACATATTTGAACTTTCCTTATCTGTAAAGTGATGGCATCAACCATACCTACCTCACAGGCTTGTTGTGAAAATTCAATGTGGTCGTGTATGGAAAATTCCTGAAACTCTACCTGGCTCTTTATATTATAGGTACCTTAGCAGTAGCCGCTGCTGTAATTAATTGGTGCACACTTGCTGTGCTGCCCTCCCTGGGTGTATTTATTTTCTGTATTAATGAAGGGGCCTCATGGAAGCAATTGTCATCAGTAGATGGACAAAGGACAAGCCAACCCTTCTTGGTTCAAAAAGCAGGAAATTTGATTGGAATTATGTGGGGGATGTTAATGGGAGCAGATGTTACTGTGCTGCATGCCTGTGTTTGATTGTGAGAGCAGAGTCAGCCTGTTCTAACATCAAGAACTACATTTTCAACAATGCCTATGGTGGTGATGGCACTTAGTCTTTGTCAGACACCGTTCTAAGGGCTTTACATTTGTTAATTGTATCCTCCTGCATCCATGTGAAATAAGGTACTGTTGTTATACCCATTATATAGATGAAGAAACTGAAGCCCACAGAGGTTAAATAACTGGTCCAAGGTCACAAGATAGTATATATGGGAACAGGGCTTTAAACCCCAGCTTTTAAACAGATGTTTTCAACTCTAGAGCTTATAGCATTCCTACTCTTCCTACTCTTGTGTTCTAATTTTTATCCTAAATAACTCACTTCCTAGTGGGAGAGCAGATGTGTAGGATGAGGAGTTGTGACTGCCCACAACCCCACTCACTTTGTTGCTTGTGTCCAAGTCCACATTGCCTGTCCTGCCTGGAGGGTCCTGTGTGGTACTGGCAGTTCTTGACAGAGCACGACAGATCCACTAAAGATGACTTCATTTCCTTCTGCCACTCCCCAAATATGTGGTTGGCCTTATGTAGTTTATTAGTTCTATTTTTCTTATACCTTTTTTGAGATACAATTCACATACCTTAAAATTCAATGGTCTTGAGTATATTCACAAAGTTGTGCAACCATCACCACTAAGTTTAAATATTTTCATCACCCCAGAAAGCAGCCTTGTACCCATTAGCAGCCACTCCTCATTCTACCCTCCTTCTACCCAACCAAACCCCTGGTAGTCACCAATCTATTTCCCATAGTGTCTATGGATTTGTCTAGTCTGCACAATTAATATAAACAGAATCCTATAATATGTGATCTTTTGATTGGCTTCTTTCACCTGGTATAATGTTTTCAAGGTTCATCCATATGGCAGTAAGTATCAGTACTTCATTCCTTTTATTTCTGAATAATATCCATTTTATGGATATACCACATTTTGTTTATCTCCTTGTCAGTTGATGGACATTTGAGTTGTTTATTTTGGGCTATTTTGATTACTGCTGGGATAAACATTTACATATGTTTTTGTGTGAACATATATTTTCATTTCTTTTGGATATATACCTAGGAGTGGAATTGCTGGGTCATATGGTAACTCTATATTTAAGATTTTGAGGAAAAGCCAAAATGTTTTCTGAAGTGGCTGCACTGTTTTACTTTCCCATTAGCATTATACGAGGACTCCAATTTCACCACATCTTCACCACCACTTGTTACTGTCTGGTTTTTGTTTTGTTTTGTTTTGTTTTGTTTTTTTGTTTATTTGTTTGTTTTTGCTAGTTTAGTGGGCCTTATGGGCTTCAGGTCTAAAGAAATCAGGATTATTATTATTTATATGTGCTCGCTAATAGTATCCCGGCTAAGAGAATTGGGATGAAATAACTTGCCTAGTGTTTGTAATAGTAGAAGTGGTAACAGTAGTGGATGTAGTGGTGCAAGTATCAGAAGTAATAGAAGTAGTAATAGTAGAGTGGGTACTTAGCAAGTATGTTATATATCATATTTTTGGCTTCGCATCAACTCTTTTAAGTAGATGTTATTTTTGCTGTGTAGTTGACCTGGAGAACTTAAGCAATCTGATGAAGTTTCAAGGATATCCATGTTTCTAATCCGAAACCAGTATTCTCTACGTTTTAGCAATTGCCCTGTAGCTGCGATAAGCCATTGGAATTAGAGACCATACATGGTCAGTGCCGGGGGATAGGACTGTCAGCAGCCTCATCCAAGATCCTCTGCTCGCTCACCCTCATAAATCCACTTAAACTAGTCAGGCCAGATTTTCTGATTTTCATACTGAAAATACTCATTTGGTGATGTGTGGTTCATTGGCAGGTGAGTGGTGAAGTTTTTCATGCCATGGCAGGGTTTTAAGATGCTAGTTTATTAATTATGATAGTTGCTCTCTAATAAATATTTATGATGTACTCGGTGTATCTTGTTCAATTTATAGCCAGCTATTATGTTTAATAGTTATTCTTTTGTTTGATTGTACAGTGTGTGCTGTTATATCTGAAAGCCCATTACTGTCACCTTATCAGAAAATGCACATTAAATTACAGTAGATGGATGGATGCTTTTAGGAAGTTTAGCCATTATTTGTGGGAAAAAGTATTCTACAAATAAATGTAAAGGAAGGACTTAAAACAGAGTAATATTTGATAAATGTTTGCCCTGTGGGAAGTGCAGCTAAGCTGTGAAATGAATTATAAATGAATTTCAAATTGATGTTTTAAGAAGTTCTACTGAATCATTAATAAATTGAGTCCTTCAACAAGTCTTTTCCTATTTAATGCATTAACTGGACATATTTGTGGCATTTCACAATGAAATCAGAGCATCATGACCAAGAGGAATTGTTATGGCTGTCTAATTATATGACTAGAAACTATTTTGGATTTTACGTCAGACCAATAAGTTCAAAAGCTCTTGTCTGAGAAAAACCTGCAGGAGTATTAATGCAAAGCAAAAATCCAGATATGAGTCAGCGATGTTCACTTTACTGCGGGTCGCCTGTGCTTCCAGAAAGAAGCCACCTGACCTCTGTCTAACTGGCATTTTTTTTTT